TCATTCCCTTCTAAGGTGAGAGAACATGAAATCGGGGTCACGGGTTTTCTTCCCCCTATACTCAAACAATCAATAATCGATCAGACTGCACAAACATGTTGTGAAGCCACTTATTTTCGTTAAGCGTTTGAGCAATAATTTAAATAAAAACAACTTCTGGTCCCGTGGTTCTTGCTCCTCGTCACGTATACATGTACTCGATAGTAATCTACCAGGATTTGTACTGTCTTTTAATAATTTTTTCACAATGGCTTCAATTTTATATAGCTATTGACATTGTTAACGGTGTTGTGTTTTCAACTTAGAACTCTCTTGTTGGTGTGTGTGTGTGTGTGTGTGTGTGTGTGTGAGCCTTACAAAAAACTAATGAATAGACAATTCAGTGAAAATATTGGACGATGTTGAAAAGGTGAACCGGTCTGTGTTGTGCCTCGTTTGAGTAGGTAATTAATCGCAATAAATTTGCAATGAGCACACATGTAGCCGGTCCGTGAGCCGGCTCGTTAGCACGGGTGAGAAACACGTAAGCATCTAGGCAGGTTGGCCGACAACTGGCTAAACCGTCACGTGACATCCAAATGCCGTCAAGTTGGGTAGTCAAACGAACAATGAATCAATCAGTATGGACATTCGAAAACTGACTGACACGTGATTAGCTGGAGCCGATCGATATTGTGACAGGGGCAATCAACATGACGTGAGTGAGTGTGCATGTGGGTGGTAGCAGGCAGCAGATCACCGGTATGTAAGAACCACGTTCCGATCAACTGTACGTCACGGCAGTCTCCGCACGGATTTGATTTCCAATGTTCAGAATCTATTTCTGATCATCATTGCTTGCGATCTGGTTGCAAGGTATTCGGACGTGAGTGGTGGTCATCACAGATCACCGTTGACACATTTACAACTTCATACCCGCTTGCTTCGCGCGCACGTATTCCATGGATGTGAGTTCAAGTTTATTCATGCAGCCGACACCTTTCACGCACGGTATACGCTTCAATATTTAACGCCTGCGCTTATTCCGATCACATTGAACTGCAGTATCGATTATCCTCATGTAAAATGTTTTGGAGCATGAATGCACGCTGTGAACAATGACTTATCTACTCGGTGAATAACTTTATCCTGTGTAATCGCTCTATCACATCCAATTTGTTGCATCACAGAGATGCCAAGCACTGTTCTCCAAGAACCAGCAGTCCACAACGACTGACCAAACCATGATTACTTTAATCAATATCATGATAACCTGGTTCAGTACACTGTGATCAACAGCGCGTTGGATTTTCGTTTTTGACTCTGTTTTGTCTGAAAATGACCATTTCATGTAAATGTATCTTTCGAGGTAAAAACGTGCGATTTGTGATCTCATTTGAACAGATCGCTTAGCGAGAACTACCATTACATTGAACGTAACCGAACAGCCCTGATTGGTTCACCGGTAAGTAAGCTTTCCGAATTGTCCAATTGAAATGCACCATATTGAATAGCACATGTTCCCTGAACTTCTCGTCGTGATTTGTACTTAACAGGGTTTGCCCAGCCATATGGCCGGATTGATTCTGAGTTCGGACAAGGCTGCATTGAATCCGTCTTGCGGTTTGTTGCTCGCTCCGATTGCACGCTGGGGGATGCATGGTAAGTGGTTGCTTGAATAATAATAATAAATATGAGAGTAATGGAGGCTCTGATTTGTTTAAATGATGAATTCATCGTGTACATGAGGCGTGAGCTGAAACTCGGGGACAGCCTGTTTCGGTCTCATCAGTAGTGCGGTGCGAATTCATCGACCCCTTACTGGAGATCGAGCGCGGGACCTCACAGGCAGAACGCAAGCGTACTATCCACTTGGCCACCCCAGGGCAGCTGATAAGACCATTTTGAATTTTGAATTTACACGATGTAGCACAATCCATCTATCTATACGAGCTTGTTGCGAGTATCGATCCTGGTCTATATCATCACAGTTCGATTGATGGATTCGCAATGCACGGATGAGACCCGACAGTTGTCCAGTACTTTCCCACGTTTAATCTCACTCCTCATTTACAAGAAAAAAATCATCATACAAATAAGAAATATCCGTTTACTTCTGAGTTCGCTTTTGAGTTCCAATGGTGTTCTATAGTATAAAAACGTTTGCTACTCCTTGTCCATCTCGGAAACGACGGAAACGGTATCGGGTGATGTTTCCACATTTCTCAAACATTTCAGAATACGCCGAGGCTGTACGGTTATTCGGCTCTCAAGATGAAAGAAAATATTATGTAAGTCGCTACGTCTCTCCATAACACGTGAATCAGTCTTAGTTTTCTCCTTCAATTGACACCTCAAAAATAACCTTTATTGATTGGTGTACTCACGTTTGCTAATATGGCCTAGATACGGTCTACATGACGACCTTTCGCCCTACGATTATTTGCCAGTTGCTGCAGCCGTTTAGTTCTAATGGCCAAATGATAAATAGACATCGTTTATGTAAAGTTAGATGCATATCTTCAGATGATAATATTACTGCAGTCTAAAATACAGTATCCCACACAGCAATGCAAATAGTTCAGTCGTTCAGTGGGATGGGTCACATCAGTCGATTTGATCAAGTCCGTGTTTTTGCTGAACAGAATTTTCACCACCAAAGTGTTAAAAACAACTTGTCATAAGCTAGATCGGATAACCGAGTGTGTGTGCGTGTGTGTGTGTGTATCCGGTGATATTTTCCTGAAGGTAATTCATACCCCATCCCACCCCATGTTCATAAGTCAAGTTTTTGTCAATTCGACTGAAGTTGTTAGTTCCCGGCGTCTACTTTAACACTGGTTTATTAGCTGGTCATTTCAGTGAAAATTTATTTACCATTTTAACAAACTAACTGTGAGTTCCAAAAACGGAAACAGTAGTCGGTGGGCATCGGAATTGTAATTCAGACTGATGAACTAAACTCACCGAAAAATTTGCCCTCGTGTATGCAACCGTATTTGTGGACATTTTCCTCAACTTGTGGTACGTGCTGTAATGAAATAAATCTCATAGACAAATGGTGCATGTGTGTGTTGATTAGAAATTTCCTGCATTTTTTAAATTTTGCATTTTGTCGTCCAGTCAGATAGTGAACATATCTATATTCTGTGCTAGAGCGT